CAGGCCTAAGGATATCTTTATCAATCTCAACCAAAAGCTGTATGAAAATGTCACGTGTCAGGTGATCCACAACGGAGACATCAGAGAAGCCTTTGAAGTGAAGACAGTAGGGAGTAAGACAAAGCCGCCTATCATCACCGATGATATTTCTAACTGTGATGGACTGGATTATGCGGCACAAAGTACGTCAGAAAAGAGAAGACAGAAATACGTTGAAACGATAAGAAGACTCTAAAAGATCTGGATTTCACGGATGATTTATGTCTGATGTCATACAAACTCAGAAGCCTATAGGCAAAGCCAACAAGTTGGGAGGAGAAGCAGATAGCGAAGACAGGATTTCAGGTGAACACAGAGAAGACAGAGGTGATGAAGACAACCAACCAAGAACAACAACAACCAGCACTAATCACCATCAACAGAAGAAATTCGAAGGAGGTTACTTCAGTCACTTATCTAGTCTGCATCGTTTCAACTACGGGCAGTCGGAACGGATGAAGATGTCAAAGGTAGGCAGCCAACTGGAATCGGAAACGCAAGGCAAGCTACTCCTTCATCAACCTGAAACCACATTGGAAATCTTCTGCACTCCACCTCAGAATAAAGAACGAGATTCGGATTTTCAACACTAATTTGAAGTCAGTCAAACACTTCTTCTATATGCATCAGAAACTTGGCCAGAGCGTCACAAAGAGCGTTTCCAACACCCAGTGGCAGACTTTTATCAACAACTGACAACTTCGTTGGATCCATATTGAAGATCAAATTTCTGGCTGGCAGCAAACCAACCAAGAACCTATTGTTCAACAAACACCCCGAAGAAAATGGTGGTGGATCGAACACACACTGAGGAGACCATCAAATGACATCTTGCTAAGTGCAGACCACCACTCGAGTGGAACCCGAATGACAAATGATGAGTTGCGAGTGAGTTCAAGGGTGATATGGAGGAGATCTTGCGAGGAGGAGGTCACAGATGAGAGACAATTATGGGGCCACCTAAAGGGGACCTCAGAAAATAGACCAAAGTGGAGACGTGCCGTTGAAGAAGAAATGCAAAATAGAGACATTAAACAGGGAGCAATAATAAATAATATATGACTCATTCGTGTTGAATTAAGCTGACGAAATTAGCGTCTTACAAAGACCAACAAGATAAGACACTAAATCGAATAATTATTGTTTGCAAATCTCTTCACATTTGATCACTGTTATTATTTGTTTTAGTTATTGCTATCGTTGTTAGCCTTAATGTTTACAACTTCATAAATTATGAATCTTACTAGAGAAGAAGAAGTAATGACTGTGTCAGGTTGTCTCCACTTCGTTAGTTGAATTGTTAAAAGTCGAATAAAACAAACAAACAAATGGACAAACAGAAGCAAACCACTATCACAATCACCACGACCACCACCACCAACAACAACAACAATGAATAGATGTAAATCACCAGTCCACGTTCAGAAACGATACAGTCATACGTAAAGACCAACACACACACATACACACAAAGACCTGTATACACAAAGTGATTATGTGTACAGTTAAACAAAAATGTTACAAAGTAAGTGTGTTACTCTGTCTATGCGTAAATTATGCATATATGCATACATTAATATGTAACAGAATCAATATACGTGAGAAGTGAGATATATACATGTGTATGTGTGTGTGTGCGTGTAACATTATGTGCAAAAACAAACACGAGTGTTAATAAATCACAATTTGTGTGTAACTCATCGATTCGTTTTAGGGCAAGTAAAACAGCAGACAAACAGAAGAAGCAGTTAGTAAAAGAAACCTTAGAGAGAAAAGAGGGGTTCAGCAAACAAAGGTCACACTAAAAAATCACGAATTGGTAGAAGTTAGAATTCATGGGTTGGCCATTGAGTCAGCAGCTCCCAGTGGTTGAATGATCTATGAGCTTGTCTTGTCACCCGGAAGATCATGGGTTCGAACCCTGACTGGAGATGGGTGCGTGTTGTCGATGAGTCCTGAACTAAGACGAAACTGGTGGTTGACCAGTACTCACCACTGGTTTTCAGCGGTTCTCTAACTCATACGTCTATGCGTGATCGAACTTGAAACCAACCAATTCCTTACAAAAAGAAAACTCTTGAAAAAGATATCTTAACTGAACCTATTTGTTTACTCCTTAATATCCTGATGGCTATTTTCCAATGATTTGAAAAGAACCGCTAACATTCAATACAGATGCGAGATAAAAGTCTTCCATTAAATCAGGAATATTCTTTCCCTTTGATTATGAAAGAATTAATCATATTTTATCAATGTACAAAGCGGCTTTAATTAATTCCACATCGGACAAGTTTATTTCAAATATCATACAGTGATGCAGTATTAACAAATAGATGACAAGGTTTTGAGCATAAATTATTGCTGCTGATAACCTAGTGGGTACGCCCTGGTGAAGAGTCCCAAACTAGGACGAAAAAGCTGTCCAGTACTCCCTGCAGGTTTTCGATTGGTTCTCTAACCAATGTTAGCTCATGATGAAATCCTGTAACCAATCAACCAAATCCCTACACACCATCACTTGAACAAGCATTTCTAAGACTAACACACACACACCAACACACGCACGCACACATGTGTATGAAGAAGGAAGTACAGAGTAAGTTACCCACTTATGATATGAGCACTCACATTGAAGAGAATGATTTCGATAGGAAAATGTCTATCGGTATAGTGTCATTCTCTAGTACGGATGCTTCGACGATATCTAAGGGTGACTAACAGTGGTATTCGTCATTTGAAAGTACCTACCTACATTTCCCAGTGAAACAAGAAGCCTATTTGGCGTTGAAAACAACGGGTACTGAGGCAATGAGTCGTCTCAGTGGGCTCACATCCTGATGACGAGTCCCGAATAGGACGAAATGTGTCTTCTGGATTCCACTGTTGGTCGCTAAATTCCTTCAAAATAACATTCTTTCCGTTTTGAAGTAATAGAGAAGATCTGTAGCTCAGGTGGATGAGTTGCAATTAACAGTGTTTCACTTTGTGTTAAATATGGCGCTGAAGATGTTGTCCAGAAGGACGACGAAAGCTTCGCAACTAAACCAACCAGCTCAGAGAACACTATTAATTGCGAATTCTTTCCGTTTAGTAGTATTTAGAAGGATAAATAAAAAAGGTGAGGAAAATCACAGAAAAATGGAGGCGAAAATGGTGCATATTAAAAAAAGCAGCGAAAGAAGTAAAAGGCATGGAAATGGAAAGTTATACAAACAAAAGTCTGTTAGAGTTAATTTAGAGAAAGCAGAATAGCAGCAATCAGAGCTCATATACACACATATGTATACACACAAACATACATACAGAAAGATAGACAGACAGACAGACACATCCATTCACCATCTGTTAGTGTATATATTTTACAGAAGGAACAACAAAAGTGTGATAATATACAGAGCGAAAAAAAGCCTGATCGCTGGGTTGAAACAAAAAAAAAGAAAAGCAGAAAAAGGCAACAGTACCCGACTAACTCACCCCGACTTAAAACGACCGCATCGAAAACTTTTGTAGACAGGTAGGCAGAAAATAATTTATTATTTATTATATGATGAATGATTATAACAATGCTATGATGTGAAATAGCTATGTGTTCTAAATGATTACTTATAGATAGATAACTAACTGATTGATAGTGTAACATTTGTGTAATAGATGGGAAAGTAGAGTTAACAAGAAAACTTGTATAATAACAGAATTCCAATGAACAATTTCTTGGTAAACAGTTTTATGACTGACCACCCCAGTTGAGTTATAATAAATACTCAGACGACGCTAAGCACAACAGCTGAGTTATCAAGGCATTGCTTAGGCAGAAATGCACACCGTATATGCAATTTAGACGATATTCATCGAATACATCAGACAAACAAGTGGAATATTTGCGCAGCTTTCAAGAGTTCGCTTGTAGAGATTTGACCATAGATTGATATGCGTTTAGAGAACTGTTGAGCGCCAGCACCGCACAGTACTGGACTACCAGCTGTTTCATACTAGTTTGGGACTCATCAGCAGTACACACCCACCACAGGGGTCGAACCCATGAATTTTAGGTTAAAAAGCAAGCTCGTAGATGACTCAGCTACTGGGACCTGACACAATGGTCAGCTCATGAAATCCGACTTTTATGAGTTTGTCTTGTAACGGGGAAGATGCTGCAATATCTTATACAGATTCTCAACTTGTTGTGAAATGTTTTACTTGCCCACTAATCTTATTACTTGTACACCCCTCCGCTTCCTAAGATTTATGCATCCCCATGAAGCATTTTATACATTGCATAAAGGAACTTATTGCTAGATTTCTAACTACGATTTTTATCACAACTATTTCGTCGCAATCCACATTACTTCAAAGATTATATATAAATATCGTGTGCGCCAGGCGATTGCTCGAGTGGAACCTGAGTGGAAAACAACAACTGGGTTGTACGAGGAGGAGATGGGATATGACGAACAACTGTGGGCTAAATAAGTCAGCAGAAAAAAGGACAAAGTGGAGATGTTGAGGTCCTATGTTCCACTCGGAATCCAAGGAAACAACAATAATTACTTCACAAATGTAGCACCTAACTACTAGCAAGTAGTCTGTCTTTTATGTGAGAAATAAACCAAAAGGGACGTCAATTATTGTCTTACAGAACGGACAGAAACAAAGAAACAAGTACTTCTTAGAATTGAAGAATTATACAAGTCCATGTTTAGTGGCTTCTTAAGAACAGGCATAAGCCTTGCAGCAAAACAAAAGATTTATTTTAGAACCGGCATCAGTTAGTCTTCTCATGAAGTGAGAAATATTATAAAAGGAGGGTAATTTTTTATACTTCAAGCAAAGAACAAACGTAAAGGTCTGGAAACGAAAGTTCACTATTAATATGAATACTTTTATATCCTTAGAGAGATTTAAATTTTAAAAAACACTTAAACATCCAATACCATACATGTCGGTAGATGGAGATTACTTACCTTCGAGCGATTCTAGTCGTTAAACTACGGAAAAATCGTCCAGATCGAGCTTTCATAGAGGCGCTCTTCTGAGCCCTTACTGCAGTCGTTGTCATCTCTAATGTTACTGACGAAGAGTCAGAAGAATTTTTCACTTCAGAAGGAAGACTTACGCCTTGATTTGCATTCAAGTTACTCGTTACTACTGTACCCTTTGGTGATGACTGTCTACATTCTCTAGACGTTAAACTACTAGAAGTATTATTACTACTATTAGTAGTACTAATAGTAGCATTGGTGCCAGTAGAAGTGGTATTGTTCGGTCGATGACGTACTGACCATTTAATGAGCGAATCTCTTGTAGTTGTTGCTGCTGTATTTGTTGGTAATTTGAAGACTGGAGATTTTGGACACGACTTATCATTATTATCATCATTAGTTGTTGTTGGTGTATCAAGTGCCTTGCAGATTGAATCCGGCATTCCAATCTGATGATGCTTAGTTGATTTATTTATGTTCTGTTGCTGCATAACTTTCGATGAATCCATAGTACCAGATGATGAGGCACCGAGTGTTGAAGAAGGACTATCACTGAATGTCGATGATGTAGACTGATCTGAGATATTTTTCGATTTATTTTTACTCCAATTATCCGTAGAACGATTAGGATCATTACGATGAAATCTCTGTTGATCATTAGGATCCAAGACATCAATAATATCATGACTATTAGCATTATTATTATTATTATTATTGTCATTATTAATTACAGGACCGTTGTTATTATAATTCGTTGAAATAGGCTTTGAATTATTATTACACGATGAAATAGTATCTTTAGGACGTTTTCGATGAGGAAGTGTTCTAAACAATGAGAGGGAAAAAAAGATATCAGAAAGTAAATAAATAAATAAATAAATAAATAAATAAATAAATAAACAAAACAATCAGTATTACAATAAAAAAAGAAAACATTAGGCATAAAAATAACTCGTTTACTAACTTATAAATAACAACAACAACAATACCAACAACAGCATTAAACAACAACGACGAAAAATAATTTTTTTAAAGTGAGGTGGGTAGGCGTTGGGGTGCATTTTCTATGAAATTAGTTAAAGTGATTATTAGATAACACAAAAGTGGAAAACTTGAACTCTAGGTGAGTATGTTACATATATATATATAAATGTGCGTATACATACATATAAATATATAAATTAGAGAAATTTAGCACAGATTCCATTATAATAGGGTTAATATTAGACAATAGTGAGTGATAATATCAAATTTTCATAGACTACACAAGAAAAATGTGTTTTCGCAAGATATGATAAAGAATTAATTAAATTCATTACGTGAAACCCTACAAGAGAACAGGTGTCCACCAAGATTTATCGACAAAAACATGAAGGAGACGACTTTGTCGCTAAAAAAATCACAACTGTTTTCCTAAGAAAACTCTGTTCATGAGCGGAAATTCTTAGTAACCGTCATTCTACTGAGTGACTGAAGAAGACATTTCAAGTAGAGCCATCTTACGCATCACATACTCCAGCAGACAGCAGTTAATCCAGTCTAAAGATAAGGATAAAATATCGCTTTTGGCCACCCACGTCAGTGGTGTGTTTACTTGTGTGGAGCAAAGTATATCGGCAGTACGCAGCGACAAGTTTGGCTAGCCAGCCAGAGAAGAAAAGAAGAATACCTTGTCAACTCTGGCTATCGAGCCAGCCACGCATGAATCCTTCACAGTGCTACAGAGATTTCCTTAATATCGTCTGAAAGAACTTCGAATATACCATCTGTACATAGCTGAATTATTGGCTATTCGGGATTTGAAAACGAGCTTCTGCATTCAATAGCATCACATACATTCCCCTTGCCCCTAATGTGGTCAGAGTAATGTTCTTACTATAATTCTGCTTCCTTTTATTATGTAAGTTTATTATTATTATTATTCTCATCATGCTTATTTTATTATCACTCGATTACTGTTTAATAATAACATTAATAGCATAGTTCTTGTCCACTCTATACAATTATATTGATTAGTCATTATCCCACACTTATTACGTCATGATAAATTCTACCCATTTTTTTCTAATTTCCAATTAGTCCCCCCACCTAGACTGATAAGAGAATAAACTAGAAATGATTAGACGTTTTAGAGAAAAAAAGAAAGATGGACGTCTTTAAACACTCAAGTTGAATGCTGGATAGAAATAATAAAATATGTCTGGATGAAAAAAAAACACAACAACTAACTATGAAGGAGTTAATACAGCGACGACGTTATCCCCTACTCAGACACAGTCGTATAAAGAAGAAGCATAAGAATAGATGAATGAATAAGAATGATATATTTATATAACTGTAACAACAGAAGACAAGGGCCAGGCAACAGATAGTTTATTAAAGAAAATCAACACATATTTATAGATTTTAATGTAGAAAATACAGTCTCTTGATTGGTTGTTTCTCACACAAAGTTAACCTTGCATCTCTTTGTGGCTGTGTCAGACCATCCATATGCTAACTGTATCCGCCTACGCAAAGCCTTTGTTCTCATTTTCTCACCACCAATATTGGGGACATAAACAGTGACGTGAATTACTGTCTACCAACTTTCGCTAGCAGCCAGCTCTCACCACATAACGACAGTTTTACTGAGGATAGAATCACAGCATACACATGTACATCAACCAAGTGAACATTGAGCCAAGTCGATTGATAACTTCAATAAGGTGACAAAACTTCATCAAAACAAAATGTAACACTTACTTAAATATCTAGCCAATCGATAACTACTGCCTAATTCAACCGATGGGTCACAGTTTCTAGTCCTACTCCACCTACTTCAGCCTGTGCGTAACTGCCTTATATCAGCACACCTCACCTCACCTCCAAAGCGGGTAGTTGAGCTTGAAACAAGTGGTCTAGTGGATAACGCTTTGGTGTTTGAAACTACACCTACTCGGTTCGAGCCTCAACGGGAACACAATCACTCACTGTGAAGTGCAGGTTCTTCCAGTTGATGAGCCAACCCCGTATAGGACGAAATTTACATCTGTTATGAATGGAACTACGACCTAGGGGATTATGAGTGAATACTAAGTTAATGCGCTGCTGGCTAATCCGTCCTTATTGTACGTCAAAAACAGCAACATTAAGAATAAAGACAAAAGAAAAGACTGGACGTCGATTGGAGAGCTGTCACTGTCTGAAACAACAGTCAAAATACTAGACAGAAACTCTGCAAATATACAGTTAGAATGACCTTGAAGATGCAGTAATCTCAGTGATGCATCAGAAGTATGGACAGCCAATAGGAATCCAGCAATCGGAAGAGAAGGAAAAATATAGGGCTCACATCAGTGCACGATAATTTCTTAAAATGGTTATTTTAAGGTTTCAGGCAAAACAAAGTGTAGACAACAGCATCCTGGATTCCACTACTCGTTAGTCACCACCATCCACCGATTTAAAACAAATCTACATCAGTAATAACTATTATTATTATTATTAAAAAAACATTTAAAAACGAGTTAGAAATCTTATAGGCCGATGTAGTTAGTGAACAAAACCTCTGAATTATTAAAATAGAGAAAGCTGTTGCTGCTGGTGTTGAGTAGGCACACAAAAAGAAAACAACATAACAAGAGAGATGAGCGGACCGAAATACGATATGAAATTATGACAGTTCACATTTATTACATAACCATTTTACAGCTAGATATACACACACACTCGTAGAGCAGAAAGAGGACTTTGTAGAACAGTTACAAATTTCTCTGAGAAAAAAAAGCAATTATAGTACACATAAACAAACACGAGAGGTTAACAACCCACAGGAAGTTCTATTTCGATCCACATGATCAACAACAAGGTGTGTCATCAGCCTTAAACATGAGTCACTACTACTCACTGGATAGGTCAATCATTTGAGTATAAGTAAACAATTCGCATAATTAATCGAAAATCTATATGACTTCAGTATATAAGCGGTAGAGATATGGCTAATTGGCTTAAGCATTCGACTTGTAGTCAATAGTATTTTTACTAGTCGGGTCTAAATCAAGCTTCACCTATTTCACACCCTAGTCTTTGGCACAATGTATGGCTCATAGCCTGATACATGTAAGGTCTGGAGAGATTTTTCGTCCTAGTTTCGGCAGTACAGTACTCACCCACCACCAAGGGTCGAACCCAGTAGCTTTCAGTTACAAAGCGAGCTCACGGACCATTCAGCCACTTGGACCCGACCCAAAAGTTGAATGGTCCACGAGCTCGCCTTGTAACCGGAAGCTCCTGAGTTCGAACCCCGCTGGCGGTGTGTGCGTACTGACAAAGAGTCCAAAACACAGTTGGACGAAACAAATAGTTGTCCAGTACTCCAGTGCTAGATTTCTAATGGATTTTCTATCGATGCTAGCTCATGATAGAATCCTGTAACCAATCAAATCTCTGCAAAGAAACACTTGAACATGTTAAATTTCTTTCTAGTAAATGATTTCAAAAGTCATTATACATAAGAGAATTAGTTAACAAAAAGTGGTAAACAATTTAGCCTTCTCATATCATCATTTCGATCTAAATATTTATTTCAGCGATTATGATAAAAAAAAACTAGGCGACTACATCACTTATTTATCTGAAGATATATATAGAAATATATACAATAAGGAAACAGCTCTTAAGTGTTTTGATAACTATGCACAAACAAGCCCAGGTCTACCACGCAAACAACAAAGTCACACTTTCTCTTTATTCATCTACGTTCTGAGTGGAACATGGGACTTTGAAACTTCGGTGGCAGTGGGTTGTGTTTTATTTTTTTAATTCTCATTTGGTGGGGTTTCTAGCTCTAACCTCACACTTCACCTTCCATCTTTACCGACCAGTCTTACTACCAGTTTACAGCGAGGTTTAGGAGTGCGTCTGTAGCGTTCGGGGATAGAACTCCGGACCACATGAGGCATGATTGGTTGGCGGACGTTATTTTCGCCACACTGACACGTGTTCAAATGATCAATCATTGTTTATCGTTACACTAATAAGATTTAGAAAATACTTCAGTGATGATTCCTTCCAAAGACACACACACACAAAACAAACAATCAGTGAAAAATACAGCTAGCCATATAAATATTTCGTAAGAGTTCTAAATGAATACAAGAATTATAAGCAATTAAAGAGCAGGCAAAGAAACAAAATTAAGTCATCAAAATAAAAAAAATCAAATCGAAAAAGTTGTTACCAAGACAGTAGAAGTGGTTGAGTAATCCTCTTTTGTATGCACAGCTCCGTTTTTCCTATGTGAATGGCCAGAGCTTCAGCGATACAAAGAAGGCGAAACCGTATTGCCTTTGATAGGTTATTCTTGACTCTGCAGATTACTTTGAAGGAGGCGTTTGTTGAAATGGAATGATCAGTGTTAACCAGGGGTTCAATTATCGCACTCCTTATTGCACCACTATTGTCTTTTCACAACCATGCTGGATAGTGTTCTTGAATCCTCTTGGACAGGGTACGCGTCGAACGACCGATGTGTCTGGCTCCACAGCAGCAGGTGAACTGATATATGCACATAGAAGTGGCCAGATGCGGGATCTTGTCCTTGAGGCTTCTGCAGATTAGTGGGCGACTGGAGAACACTATTCTTAGCGTTGCTGCAAAGAATGTTCTTCTCAGAGATGATGTGATCCTTCTCTTGAGAATATCGCTTGCTAAATCTCCCTTGAAATCCAGGTTCATGTAGAGTTTCTTTTTTGGTGCAATTAAAGTTTCGTTTCTCCGAATTCTTGGTTTGATATTTTTGTCGATGAATCTTATTGGGTATCCATTTTGGATGAAAATTTCTC